TATATATATATATATAGCTACTGGCTGGATTTTATATCATAACCTATAGTATTGGTCATTGTTATTATAGCTTTTCATCATTTCCTGTGTTTGACTGTGGTTGCTAATGCGATCTAATGAAAGCCAGTTCAACTGTAGCTAGAAATTCAGGAAGTTTCCTTTGTAACAGTATACAGTAAGGAGACACTTTGAGATGGATTCACTGCAGGTCTGTGTTTAATCATTAGTGCAGGAAGTCATATGTAATCGTCTTCTCTACAGTTTGCATTGCATGGAGGACCAGGAAGTGATTCTTTATCAATCGGTGTGTACAAATGAACAGATTTCTGGAGACATGGTAACATTCTTCCAAAATTTGTCTAGAAAATACACAACTAATTGCATTACACAGTTGATTATCTAAATTATATTATTAGAGACTCTCATGAAGCCTGTCAAAAACACATCCAGGTCATATTTAGTCATTTGGGTCATAATACTTCATAATTTGTTAATGCAAAGAAATGTTTTTCTTTTTAATTTTAGGATGAAATATGACATGGCCATGTTCACACGAGAGTCAACCTTTTATATAGACACAATCTATAACCTTTGCTTGTTGAACCCATGCTGAATCTCACCCAAACAAAGGTTTTAATAGGATGAATATGAGTCACTCTAGTATGTATATGTATGTTTTTTTTGTTTTGCCGAATGTTTTCTTTGACCATTAATTTGCAGATGTATGAGTGAATCTCATGAAAGTTATTCTATATATATTCAGTATATTTGAAAGTGTATCTCAGATCACACACAAATATTCTTTACTAAATGCAGCTGGATAGTTTACTTTTTTGTCATTTCCATTATTTTCTTTTATCAAGTTCTCATTGCAGTAATAGTAATTATTTCAGTTAGTTATAAAATTATTAACATTGCTGCATAAATTAAGGCTGTAATGATTTATTATTTTTTTGACAATGTTTATTGTTGCATAGATATTATTTATACTGTGTGTGTGTATATATATATATATATATATATATATATATATAATACTGTGTGTATATATACAGCTACATTATAGTAAAGAGTATTATTCTTTAAAGTCATAATATCATAAAATTAAAAGTTTTAATATCCTTTTGGCCAAATTTGATTTAATATTTCTTTTATTTTTTGTAATTTTTAAATTTTGTTTCATGATATTCACCCATGTGCTATAAAAAAACTGCATGTACAATTTATTTTTAACCTGTTTCCATTCCAAATCATAAGATGTTCCACGCTCACGGTTCTCCTGCAGTGCTGTACTATGAACTTTATCTTGGTGTGTTTCTTGGAAACGGTCTGTAATTTTTCTGTTTAACCCTCTGATGCTCATCCTCATGTTGAAGGTGAGGCTGGTGCGCTCCAACCCTCCCAGTCCACAGTTCAAAGCTTCGTTTGACGCCTCGTACCAAGTGTACAAACTCTACCAGATGGCCATTCACAAGGACCCTCCTGACAAACCTACCGAGAGCCAGGTCAGGGGATCCAGAGCTGAAGGGCTTTCTCTTAGCTGTTGAGCACATTTGACATGGCCACGCTTCTACTTTGGTCTTCAAACCAAATAATATTTTGAGGATTTTGACTTGTATGCATGGAAATGTGAAAGAGCATTAGGTAGAAATGAAAGCATGTTCAACTGGAAGCAAAGAATCACAGTGCAGTGACTTTAATGAGCAGTGTTTTAAAACAGCAGTGAGGAGGAGGAAGCCTAAAGCAAGCAGACATGAAATGAGGAAAGGCTGCAAAAATGGAGGTAAGCCATGGAAACTCCATGAAACAGTATGAATCTAATCCTGGAAAGAGAAATTGAAAGGAAATTAGGAAAACGCTCTCATCCGCACTGTGTTTCTACAGGTGTCTGTGTTAAACGAGGAGTTTGTTGCTGTTGAGATGTTTAGGTTCTTTAGCTGGTGTTTTCCTCACACTTTCCAAACTAGGAAATGGAAATTTCAGTCAAACATCATCTTGTAGGTAGTGCACCTTCACTGGATGTTGATTATGATACGCTCCTGTAACTTTCATGCAGCCTCAGTTTTTTTAAACACAACTGTATTTGAAATTCTTGTTTTTATTACTGTGTGGTATTTTACCACTGTTGGAGGCCACAAAAGGATGAGCGGAATAAATGGGAATGAGATTCAATGTTTGAGAGCTTGAACGTTCGTGCCTCATATGAGCACCACAGCTTAACGTGTCAAAGCAAATGCGCTAACAGCTCTGAATGTTCTGCCGTTTGCAGTTCTTTTTGAAGTTTTTGAAAGCTCTGCATGGGACGTTTTGTTGTGAGTAGGGCTGCAACTAACTGCAACTATTTGGTCGATTATTTTTTCGATTAATCGGATTAAAAACAAACAATTTTCTTTGTTTATTTTATTGACTAAAACACACTGTTCCACATTCTGCCCAATGTCCTTAAAACAAACGTTCCAACTGAATGCTATGAAAACATACAGTGCTTAATAATTTATTAGACCACCTGCCATAATAAAGAGAAAACACATTTTAGGAATCTGTCAAAAAATTGTTTAAATCAAAAATTTTACTATTATTCATCAAAAATACTTTTATTCATTCACATAACAAAAATGGCCTCCTATGCCCTTCATAACAGCTTGCATTCTTGCTGGCATTAAGTATTTTTTGACTGTAATTGGGTATCTGAAAAAAACCCCCACTATGAAGCTCTCTGTCTTTCTTCCATAGATAACAGCAATAATTATATTAAAGCATTAGAATCAGCCTACTACTGTTACTAACGAGCTTATGCATATTGGAGGACTAACCCATACAGAAAGCTAAAAAATTATTTTGGTAATCATAAATAAATGTACTTATCACCTCAGTGATAAAACTCATGGATTCCGAATAGGGCTTAGTGTCATTTCTTTATCCTGTTAAAGGCGGTTTTGAAGAGTCTGATATTTATTTTCAGACAATTACACGCTGTTATCCCCTTACAGTTCCTACTCTCATAAAATATGCGCAATGCATGTTGACCTTTAAACCTTTATTTAACTTTCAACAACAGATATTTCAGCACAATGAATGTTTTTGCACTGATTATTAATTGTCTCTGTTTTCCGTCTGTCTGACGCCGCGCTGGCGCTCATTCAGTAAAGATTAAAATTTAACACAGACTGTCAGGACGGACCTTTATGCAAAAATGGAAACACTTGCGTGAATTTGTGACATTTATACATAAGGATATGGCCGTTAACACGCATCTGTTAAAGCGCCTGACAGGGCAAGCCATTACGCTAATGCATTAGCGTAAAGCTTTCAATAAAGAATTCTCATGCTTTGGGCAGCTTGAATCACGTAACTCTCCTGCAGCATCTCATTCTGTTTCCTCCACTATTTTAGATGCATTTTGTCCATAGAAATAAGTAATTCAGTGCTTTAATTTGACGCGACCGGCTGAAGTTGGACAAGTATGTAAACTCCGTTGGACGTGCACTGTGGGCAGACCTGATTAATCGATAATGAGAATCGTTGTCGATGATTTTCATAATCGATAATAATCGATTTGATCGATTAGTTGTTGCAGCCCTAGTTGTGAGTTGGTCTGAATTGGTGTTGTACTTCAGACTTCGACTTTTCTAAATTTCTGTTCTTTCTGCCCTGGCTTCATGACAGTTCCAAGTTATTGAATCGTTTGAGAATGCTTTGTGTGTGTGTGTACTGTGTATACATTGAAGGATGCCATGTTATTGATGCCCTGCTGCTTATTTTTTGCCTGAAATGTTCTGATTTTTTTAGGTTAGACCTATTGAAAAATATAGACCAAGCTTAGAATTGGTGGTTTTCCTTTCCTTTATTTATTTATTTTTTTTTAAATCAGTCAAGGGACCAGTGCTTATCCCACTGCCCCAATGACACCGTGTTAACTGTAATTCATCAGGTTCATTGATGGTCTGTATTGTTGTAAGCCATGTGATTTTAGCCTGAATCAGAGCTTCACAGCCCCGGTGCACCAGCCTCACCTTCAGCCTCCCGTTTCCCAACATTTACCCTCCAACTCTGAGTTTAAATCCATGCTACACATTCCCTTCCCTGTCTTACTCAACACAAAAACAAGTTACTCTGTATAATCTGTATATCTTATGCGCTTCAATGTCCTTGAGGTGCATCAGAACATTGTAATGTAAACAGTATAACACCGTATGTTTAGAAATCTGGAGCAAAAGAAGAATACACTGTTTGAATTTTCCAAACTGTGTGCCATATCACATTTATGCATTAATGACTTCCAATGTTAGCCTAATTAGACTGATAGTTTATAAGATCACTAATATTAACCATTATTGGTATGGTGACAGACATATTGTGCATCCCTACAGAAAAAAAAAAAACTTCTTTAAATAGTTTGAAGCACTTGTGTAATGCTAAATTAGCAACAAATTAAAGTGTAAGACAGCTTGGGAATGCAATTACATTTTAGTTTTGGGTTCATATTTACTCTTAGGCTGTCTTTGTTTCAGAAGATGCTATAGTGATTCTAAGAATTTTAATGGTAATCTTTATTTTTTTCCACATTGAATCTGACATGTTTAATTCCATTCTGAACCACTTTCACATGCAAAAGTGACAATGTAAACAGTCAGAATTCATATGATTAATTGGCTAGTTGCTTACTAAAGCTTGAATTATTTATTCAGTTAAACTGAACTTTGTGAAGAATATAAGTAAGCATTGCCTGTTCAGACCAGTGTCACATTTAAAAGGTCATGTGAACAGAACTTCGGCTTGCAGTGTGAATATGAACCCAAAAACACTGCATATGTGATGTGTATACAGTGCTGTTGAAATCATTTCATTGCTAATTTTGTATTAACCACTCCCCTTATCCACACACTCTTGTCTGTTTTTCCTTCATTCTCCCTATCCTCCATTGTTTATGTCCCTTTATTTATTTTCCATTATCCTTTTTTGATTTCCTACTATCCTTCCGTCTTTCTTATTCAATCGTACTTCCTCCCTCTAATCATTCCTTCTTCACTCTGAAGGTGAGGCTAGTGCCGGTCAGCTTTGAAGACCCTGACTTCCTGGCGTCGTATGAGCAGTCAGCGGCGCTGTATGCACGCTACCAGATAACAGTTCACGGTGACACTCCGTACGAGTGCGGGGAGAGCGAGGTACAGGCTTAAACATGTCACGTTCACAACTGCATGAAACACCCAACCGATTGACCTGAAGCCCTGCTCACTAACATTACATATGTTTTCCAGCATGTTTGAGGCATTTACATATACTTCTCACGTACACATTAGCTTTTTACTAGACCTACACATAATCTGTGCCTGCGAAACGCTTACCGAACTTCTGCTCATCCTCTGCCCTGTGTGTGATCATTTGTTTTTTTTGCTCTTTGGTTAGGAACAAACTCCTAACTTCTAACAGTGGCAGAGAATTTTCGCATGGGCGAGCATGTAAAAGTGACATTTTGATCAAGTTTTTAAATGCATGTTGCTGACATACAAAATTTGACTTTTTAATTTTTTTTTAACACTCAATAAGAGTGCAGATTTCTGAATTTGTATTTGAATCTAATCAATGGATTTTCCCACACTGTAAAAATGTTTTTTACAAAATAACAAACTATATAAAATTATAATTTTTTTAATGATTTAAATGAATGAAATAGTAATATTAAATAAAATATACAAACCCGATTCCAAAAAAGTTGGGACACTGTACAAATTGTGAATAAAAACAGAATGCAATGATGTGGAAGTTTCAAATTTCAATGTTTTATTCAGAATACAACAGATGACATATCAAATGTTTAAACTGAGAAAATGTATCACTTTAAGGGAAAAATAAGTTGATTTTAAATTTCATGGCACGTTTGTGTTGTTGAGGGAATGAATCTAAATGTGAAATGAAGATTGTTTTTGACTGAGCAGATTTTGGCCCATATATATTTCATGTTGCACAATTCAAACTGCATTTGTTTGATGGTCATTGACTTAATTAATATCCCCTTGATGAGTTCACAACAGTTGTACAGTAGTATAAATGAATGACAGCAGAGAGCTGCAAGATCCCATAACATTTCATTACCCATGCAGGTTTAAATGTTTAACCTGTAACGTGTCTATCTATATTCATTTGTGTCTGTTGCAGAATGAAACGCTGCTGTAATAATTATATAGTACACGCAGAACTGTTTTACAGCGGCCTCCATTTGAAGACACATGAGCAATTGTCTGGACTGGCCAATAATTCACCTGTGTTTTGGTAGAGAGTGAATTAGGGCTGGGTGGATAAAACTCTTCTACCGTGTGTTATTTCAGTCTTCGGCTGGGCCGGGCCTCGCACACACGCCCTGCTCTGTGAAACACGGCCATAACTCAATTATGTGTCATAAAAGAAGCAACATTCGCAGTCTGGGAGCTTGTGGGGAAACTTTACATTATTAAAACCCTGTCGGGAGGCCAAGAGAAATCCGATTTTATATAAAAAGTTACAATGAAAAGCTGCACTGAACAATGTCAAACAAAAAACAGGTCATGAATATTGTGAAATTGTGGTTTCATTTGAAATGTAATGTGATTTTGGAAGGTTTTTGAGTATGAAGGGAGAGTAGGTTGTGGTCTTGGGGACAGACAAGATGTTTTTTGGAGTCTAATGACACCTTAATCGTATACATTTTTAGTGCTTTGGAGCTTTTTAGTGTGTTTTAGGATCGAGCAAGCGCGAGACAAATCTAGATTCATCTTATTGCATTCAATGAGGCTTTCAGAAGTCGGTCAGCAGGTTAATAGCTTATTGATCTGTGCTTAGTGTATGTTCTGTACATACCGTTTTTATCTTTGCAGTATAGAAAGTCACATGCCATGTTGTTGCAATGCAATGCAACTCTACATTAAGACCTGAAACATACTCTACACTAATGTAAAGTTTGTGTGTAAATGTAAATTTATTCCTGTGCCGAAAAGCTGAGTATCATTACTCCAGTCTTGATCCTTCAGAAATCATTTTGAGCAATTGTCTGGACTGGCCAATAATTCACCTGTGTTTTGGTAGAGAGTGAATTAGGGCTGGGTGGATAAAACTCTTCTACCGTGTGTTATTTCAGTCTTCGGCTGGGCCGGGCCTCGCACACACGCCCTGCTCTGTGAAACACGGCCATAACTCAATTATGTGTCATAAAAGAAGCAACATTCGCAGTCTGGGAGCTTGTGGGGAAACTTTACATTATTAAAACCCTGTCGGGAGGCCAAGAGAAATCCAATTTTATATAAAAAGTTACAATGAAAAGCTGCACTGAACAATGTCAAACAAAAAACAGGTCATGAATATTGTGAAATTGTGGTTTCATTTGAAATGTAATGTGATTTTGGAAGGTTTTTGAGTATGAAGGGAGAGTAGGTTGTGGTCTTGGGGACAGACAAGATGTTTTTTGGAGTCTAATGACACCTTAATCGTATACATTTTTAGTGCTTTGGAGCTTTTTAGTGTGTTTTAGGATCGAGCAAGCGCGAGACAAATCTAGATTCATCTTATTGCATTCAATGAGGCTTTCAGAAGTCGGTCAGCAGGTTAATAGCTTATTGATCTGTGCTTAGTGTATGTTCTGTACATACCGTTTTTATCTTTGCAGTATAGAAAGTCACATGCCATGTTGTTGCAATGCAATGCAACTCTACATTAAGACCTGAAACATACTCTACACTAATGTAAAGTTTGTGTGTAAATGTAAATTTATTCCTGTACCGAAAAGCTGAGTATCATTACTCCAGTCTTGATCCTTCAGAAATCATTTGAAAACATTGATTTGCTGCTTAAGAATCATTTCTTATCAATATCTATTAAAAATTATGTAACCTGGACTTTTGAACAGTAGTGTATCTGAATGTAAATCCATTCACTTTCTTACTGATCAGCTATCGTCATTGCGAAGCAGCAAATGCAATAGAACATGCTTCTCAATTCCTCAGTGTTTATAGCTTGTTAAAGGGGTCCTATTATGCTTTTTCACTTTTTCAACTTTAGTTAGTCTGTAATGTTGCTGTTTGAGCATAAAAAAGATCTGCAAAGTTACAAAGCTCAAAGTCCAATTCAAAAAAAGATATTTTATTTAACAGAAATCCCTTTTCAAAAACTACAACGAATGACTCTTTTGGACTACGACGCATATTTTCCGGGATTTGTGATATCACAAATATCGACGAATGGGACGAGACCTGGTTGAGCTGCGCTAGAGAAGGCAACGAGTGTTCTCACTATGTCGGAGACACGCTAGCTTTCCCAAGGCAGACGAACTTCGAGTGTTTACAATCATCCGGGTTTAAATCGCGCTCAAATTGATTAGATTTTTACTCAATATTTACACTGAAGCTCGCAGGCGGCTATGGTAAGGGGTATGACATTTTCCCACTGGCCCAGCTAACCAATCACAGCACA